CGTTGGGGGTTGGAAGGCAGTGGTCATGAGGGAAAGGGGCACTGGGTGGTTGTGCTACAGTGGAGGGTGAGAGAAATTGGCTAAATGCTCTCATCTCACTGCCAAAAAATTGATCACGACACCCATCCTGTCCTAGTCTCCCCAACCAAACACCTCGATCTAACTTATTGCAACCCACCCAAACGCCTTCATCTACCTTATCGCAACCCACCTTCTCTTCCACGACCCAGCACACTCCGACAACCAGCCTCCATAGCCCTAACCACCCACACCGATCCAAATCGACCAAGCATTACCCATCAATAACCCAAAAAAATCACATCAATCAAAAATACCCAGATATGATAGCAACAAGACATTGAAGCGATCATGCAGATGTAGGCATAGGTTGTTTTTCCAATCGGAGGCCCATCCAAATATATGGCAGAGACGAGAGAGAGGTTTGCTGGGGATGAAGGTGAGGGAGATTGGTGTTTGTGGTTGTGGTTGTCGACAAACAGTAGGGAAGAGAGAGGCTTGATCTGGAGAACGCATAGAGAGAGAGAGAGAGAGAGAGGAAAAAAAATAATTTGGTTTTTAATATTTTATTCATATTTTAATCAATTTAAAATTAAAAAATGTGAAAAATGTGGGACCTATAGTGCCACGTAGGCAACTAACAAAGAGATCGGATGGAAACCCTCCCTAACGGCGGAACCACATTATAATAAATTTAAAAGACCGGGGTATGTGATTGTTAAAATTGAAAAGATAGGGACTAACATGTCGTAAGGCTGCAACCACAGGATACTAAACTGTAATTAACCATATTTATTTTTTATACATACCGAGCGATTTTTTTAATTAATAATCTCGTACATAAAAATAAAATTAATCTTATGTGAATAGTAATTGCCCTTGTGTTGCCATGACAATTGGTGGAAAAACAAAAAAAATATTGCTAGGACAAGCACTATTCACATGAATAGTGCTTACCCTTACTTGCCCTTACCCTTTGCCATGGCACCATGGGTGGAAGTGCTCTAAGAATTACTTCATTAAAGCCCATAAGCAAAGGCTATCAGGCCCTAATAGAAATCCAGACTACCAATAGACACCTTGCGACACTCTACATAGAGAAACAATGTCAATCTACTCAACTAAGAACATGCAAGTGAAAATTCTGCTCTTTGAAATTTGCTTAACTGAGAATGTAAAACTGAAAATTCGGTCCACGCATAACAAGTTGGAACCAACTTGATTGTAATTCAAATACACAAACCATGTGTAGACTCATATTCTCAAATCATAATAGTCATTGGATGTGTAAGTCTACATTTTATGCTCATCAAGTTTTACTAATGTGCAAATATTTCAAAAAAATGAGAACACATGAGCTAAACTAAACAAAGAATATGCAAGGGGCTTGTAGCTCAATGTTGGAATTCCTCTTCTCCAATATCTATTGTATCAAAATCAAGCAGAGAAGATAGCCGCATACTCGCCGGACTTGGACAAATCTTCCATCTCTTTTGTGCCCTCTCCCTCATCCCAATTCTTCTTGTCCTCACAATGCCCATATAACCAACTACACAGTAAAAAGTAGAAGAAGTTTACCACACTCATAGCAGTAAGAAGCCAATAGTAATAATCATAGTGACCCATGTTGAGGTTACTTGAAAGCCAGCTCACACCATCTTTTTTGGTCACATCATCCACAATGCTCACAACCAAACTCCCAACCAAGCTCCCAACTCCAAACCCAAGTGACAAAAGAGCCACTGCAATACTGGACATGCTCTTTGGGAACTGAGAGTAGTAGAATTCTAGCTGCCCAATTGCATTCAAAGCCTCTGCAAGTCCAGTGAGGCAGTGCTGTAGTATTAGCCAATCGGCAGACATGCTCACTACACCCTTTGGGTTGCTCAGAAAACCCTCCTGAATTGCTGTTTTTCTTCTCTGCCTCTCAACCTCTGCTGCAGCAGCAGTGGCCAAACAAGAGATTACTAGGCCTGCCCCAATTCTTTGCTTGAAGCTAAACCCACGCGGCCTTTTTGTGTACTTGGATACCAATGGGACTAGTATCCGGTCATAGATGACCACCCATATTGTCAGGGTGAGAATGCCAAACAGGGAAAAGGAGGCTGCTGGGATTTTGATTTTGCCCAGGAAATGCCTGTCCATGGTGTTTGCTAGGAGCACAGGGAATGCGTGCTGGGCGATCGTCACCCCGATCATAATGCCACTAGACCAAATGGGAAGGATTCTGATCAGTGCTTTCAGCTCTTCTACTTGCCTAACAGTGCACAGACTCCACGGATCTTTGGCCAACCCGTCAGGGCCTATGTCCTTCTCAGGGCTTCTGATCATGCAAGCCTTATTTAGGTACCTTAGATGGGCCAAAAATATTCAAATTAGACCAAGTGGATGAGAAAGGTTAGGGAAATTAATATCAGGAAAGGTTAAGGATTTGATCCGTTCCTATGTGATCAAAAGAAATTAAGTTATTGACACCAAACTTAAGCCAACATTATTGTATGAGCTGGTTTCATATGTGATAGTTCTCTTGCGACATGTATGTGTGACATAGAAGATCATTTATAACGGGTTCATATAAAAGTTCCTCCTCAAATATGGGTTTCATTTGTTTTTGTTTTTATGTCCAATATAGCATAAAATATCATAGCTAAGCCTAAGTTCCATAAGCTTATACCTATAAAATAAACATGATTATGCAATCTATATTCATGTACCTTAAATTATCCGTTGGAGTGGCAAACTTTGAACCTTTGGGACTATGCCATGCATCAAAGTTCTTTGGTGGCAACGCCAAGTGCCTGTTTTTCCAAGCTGCCGCAATCGCTTGAACAAGGCCAGCAGACAGATTCTTGTTTGGAGGCACCTTAACATAAAGGGAAGATCCCAAGAGAAACAGAAGACCGGACAATAACATGAGGCCTACAGGAACTCCAAAACCCACAACCCAACCAAACTGAACTTGAACATAAACTATCACTGTCACTGCAAACATGACTGAGACTCCAACTGAAGCATAGTACCAATTGAAGAAGCTCTGCAGAACCCTTTCGTTCTTGGGGCTGTCTGGCTTGTTCAGCTGGTCTGCTCCAAAGGCTAGTGAGCATGGCTTGATCCCTCCAGATCCAATGGACATGAGACCAAATGAGGTAAACAGAAGCATCACTTGGGCTGTGTTCGCTGAGACGCATTTTTCTTTTAATGGGTCGTCACAATGGACTGGTCTTGCTCGTGGAAATACTGCTGTTAGCCATAGCAAAATCTCCCCCTGCAAATAATTTCATAAATTTCTGAAGTCTAAAATCAAATAAGCACATTCTGATCATTTGTATGTGACAAGTGGGCACAAAAATACTAATTGTATGGAGAAGTTGAGTAACTTTGCTTACAAGTAGGCTGACGACTGTTCCCAATGCGATCACACGAAAGCGACCCAAGTGAGAATCAGAGAGAAAAGCCCCGATGATAGGCGTGAAGCTCGACATGGCTAACCACAAGAACAAGATGCTAGCTCCGGTGGCGGCCTCCATGTGATATTCAGATGTCAAGTACATGATCATATTTGCCTGAAGCCCAAAGCTTGCAACCTTTTCCAATGCCTCGTTTGCTGCACGTATGAAATTCACAAACTTTTGGTTCTCAAAGTACAAATACATTACACATATATACAGAAGCACTCAAGCGCTAACCGGTCCGTAAGTTAATATCAAATACTTAACAAGGGATGTCACATACAGATGATACAAGGCATGGTTCTAAGGCCACCCTTCTTGCTTGTGACCAGTTGGGCGGGCTTGCTTTGCTCTGAAGAGAGCTCCATCTCTGCAACCAACGGATTGGTCTGAGAATGAATGTATGATCAAAGAATGCAGTTAAGAGAGATGGACAGGCAGATTTAAAGCTTTTACAAAGACAACAGCAACTAAGCGATCATCATCATAAATCATTGTTACTATTTAAAAAAACAAAAAAACAAATCATTTTCACTATTTTGTTTCTGCCACGGCATCTTCCAGTTTGGATTGCAGTATGCAAAAGATGGCCTTAATTAAATAATGTTAATTTAGTTTTCAATGTTTCCCCGACGCTACAAAATTACAAAATTGTCACATAGAGTTTATCAGCACCAAAGAGAATAATAGAGCAGTATTTTGAGCAGCAGCAGCAACATCAGCATACTATAATTCTCGATCTGATCTTTCTGTGACCACAAATACAAAATAGACATAACCGTGGATGGTTTCGAGGTCATCATTTTAAGGACCACATTAATTTGTTTCAAGACGTTTTAATGGTCAACTATGGTTTGTCTACGTGCACACACAACTGAGCAGAATCCGACTACAAATAATAATTTGAAATAACCTCTATAGATAGATTACTGTCGCAGAATGCTGGCTCAAGATGAAAACAAGCCACTAATTACAATATTTGCTGTGCCTTTTTCATCATTAATAATTTGAAACCTAGATTACTGTCGATCATGATTAATGTGTCTTTACATAATTTTATATGCAAAGATGTAAACAAGGTAGTTGTTAAATATATTTTCATGGGAATATTTGCATCACTTTCTGTATGCATGATCCACTAAAGTGAAGTACTTTTGAGTGTGAAAGTGTGAAAATAATATATATTCTAATTAAACTTGAAGGCGTGTAGCGTTGTTTTTTCCACCCTTTGTTTTCAGTCAAGTGCTACTTTTACTTTGAGTTCGGTGAACAACATTTAAATAAAACAAAGGGTGCCAACGGGTCTAGCCCAGTAAAAAAGGAATCTTCACGGCATCATAGTTGTGTGTGTGAGAGAAATCTCCCTCCCCTATAATTTAGACTATCTCTTGTACTCAAAAAATAAATAAAAGGGTATATGTAAATTTCAGTTGATTTATAACAGTAATTATTTGTCAAAGGAAGACCTGCTTTGTACCAGTAAAGATTACTGCACTAAGCAGGCCCTGCAGAATCCCAATTAGTAACTTTCCTTTGCTCCTCTCTGTCTGTTGACCATTTATTATATGTGAAGCACTTTTTCAACTCTGAAGCACTTTCAACGTTAAAAAACCAACTAGAAGCTTGTGAGGACTGGTATAATCTGATGTCACTAGCTAATTGCAGGCAACCAAACCAACCCTAAGCTGATGATCCCCATCATCAGATTCATTTGTGATTGGTCAAGTGTGACAAATTTTCGACTCTGAAGACTATAATTCTCGATCTGATCTTTCTGTGACCACAATTCCTTGGGCTTTAAGGAAATTACTTTGACCAGATACAAAAAACTGACGTTGTATGACGGGTGCCAAACCACTTGGTTAAAATTACTAAAAAAGGTGACTTCAGCAACTATGTCTTAAAGTGATTGAGTTTCAATTTGGCTTCCTGGAATTTTCTCAAAGACAAGTTGGAAAACAAATTTAATTTTAATTCAAATACACAAACCATTTGTAGACTCATTTCTCAATGCATAAAACTCATTGGATTGACATCTGTGTAAGTCTATACATTTTATGCTCAGCAAGTTTTACTGATGTGCTTCAAAGAAAATATAAGAAAAAGCACATGATGAGCTAAATCAAGCTGATGAGTAGACAACCGCATACTCGCCGGACTTGATCGACAATTTTTCCATCTCTTCCATCTCTTTCATGCCTTCTTCTTCCTCATCCCAATTATTTTTGTCCTCACAAGGCCCATATAACCAACCACACAGTAAAAAGTAGAAGAAATTTACCACATTCAAAACAGTAAGAAGCCAATAGTAATAATCATAGTGACCCTTGTTGAGGTTTTTTGAAACCCAACTCACACTATCTTTTTTGGTCACATCATCCACAATGTTCACAACCAAACTCCCAAGCAAGCTCCCAAATGCACCCCCAAATGACAAAAGAGCCATTGCAATACTGGACATGCTCTTTGGGAACTGAGAGTAGTAGAATTCTAGCTGCCCAATTGCATTCAAAGCCTCTGAAAGTCCAGACAGGCAGTACTGTAGCACCAGCCACATGGCAGACATGCTCACTATACCCCCTGGGTTGCTCAGAAAACCCGCCTCAATTGCTGTTTTTCTTCTCTGCCTTGCAACCTCTGCTGCCACAGCTGTGGCCAAACAAGAGATTACTAGTCCTGCCCCTATTCTTTGCTTGAAGCTAAACCCACGCGGTCTTTTTGTGTACTTGGCCACCAACGGGACTAGTATCCGGTCGTAGATGGCCACCCATATTACCAGGGTGAGAACGGCAAACGTGGAAAGGGAGGCTGCTGGGATTTGGATTTTGCCCAGGATGTGCCTGTCCATGGCGTTTGCTTGGAGCACAGCGAATGAATGTTGGGTGGTCGTCATCGCTATTATAATGCCAGTAGACCAAATGGGCAGGATTCTGATCAGTGCTTTCAGCTCTTGTACTTGTCTTACGGTGCACAAACTCCATGGATCTTTGGCCAACCCATCAGGAGCTATGTCCTGCTCAGGACTTCTGATCATGCAAGCCTTATTTAGGCACCTTAAAAAAAGAAGCCAAAGATTTGCAAATTAGACCAATTGGATGAGCGAGTCCAGACAAATTAATATTAGGATAGGTTAAGAATTTGATTCATGCCGATGTAATCAAAAGAAATGAAGTCATTGACAGCAAACTTAAGCCACAAGTAATATTATTGTATGAGTCGATTATATGCATGATATTTCTCTGGTGACATGTATGTCGAACATATAAAGATCATTTACGACGTGTTCATATAAAATATCATAGCTAAGCCTAAGTAATATACTATATAGTATTTTAACATGATCATGTACCTTAAATTATCCGTTGGAGTGGCAAACTTTGAACTTTTGATACAATGCCATGCATCAAATTTCTTTGGTGACACTGGCAACGCCAAGTGTCTGTTTTTCCAAGCAGCCGCAATCACTTGAACAAGGCCAGCAGACAAGTTCTTGTTTGGAGGCACTTTAACATAAAGGGAAGATCCCAAGAAAAATAGAAGAGCGGACAAGAACATGAGGCCTACAGGAATCCCAAAACCCACAACCCAACCAAATTGCGTTTGAACATAAATTATGGCTGTCACTGAAAACATGACGAAGACTCCAACTGAAGCATAGTACCAATTGAAGAAGCTCTGCAAAACCCTTTCATTCTTGGGGTTGTCTGGCTTGTCCATCTGGTCTGCTCCAAAGGCCATTGAGCATGGCTTGATCGCACCAGATCCAATCGACTGGAGAAAAAATGATGCAAGCAGAAGCATCTGTTGGGCTGTGTTTGCTGAGACACATTTTTCTTTTAATGGGTTGTTGCAATGGACTGGTCTTGCATGTGGAATTATTGCTGTTGACCATAACATAGTCGTCCCCTGCAAATAATTTCATAAATCTGGTATCAAAAATAGGTATAAAAAAAATTACTAATTGTACGGAGAAGTTGAGCAAATGTTCTTACAAGCAGGCTAACAATTGATCCCCATGCGATCGTACGAAAGCGACCCAAGTGAGAATCGGAGAGAAAAGCCCCGACGATAGGCGTAAAGTTCGTTATGGCTGACCACAAGAACAAGATACTAGCTCCGGTGGCGGCCTCCATGTTATATTCATATAACAAGTACATGATCATATTTGCATGAAGCCCAATGCTTGCAACCCTTTCCAATGCCTCGTTTGCTGCACGCATGAATTTCACATAAACTTTTGCCTCTCAAAGTAGAAATTCATATATATACTCAAACGCTAATTCGTTAGTAAGTTACTAACTATCAAACACTTTTAACAGGAGATTTCACATACCGATGATACAAGGCATGGTTCTAAGGCCACCCTTCTTGCTTGTGACCAGTTGGGTGGGCGTGCTTTGCTCAGAAGAGAGCTCCATCTCTTCAAGTGCAACCATCGGATTGGTCTCGGAATGAATACGTATATGATCAAAGAGTGCAGTTAAGAGAGATGGAGATTCAGATTTAAAGCTTTGCTCAATACATGATCTTAAATCATCACAATGCAAAAGATGGCCTTAAATAATGTTTATATTGTTTTTTTTTTCGGGACGCGCTACAAAATTACAAAATTGTCACATAAGGCTGTAATGAACGATCTGATCTTTCTGTGGCCGCAATTTGAAAACAGATATAACTGTGGATGGTTTCGTCTATCAACTTAAGGTTAACAAATTAATTTGTTTTCTAGACATATATTTTAATGGCTAACGATCTTATTTGTCTGCATGCATACACAAATAATGCAACTAGAATCCGACTAAGTACACATAATAAGAGCTGGCTCAAGATGAAAACAAGTGATGTATAACAGATGGAAGGTAAAACAATGATGATTCATTTCATTGTATGTTTTATGATTCACCGTATTTTCGATGATTCGTTGTATTTTTATTTATGGTATTAATTATATTTAAGTTAAAGGGGGATGAATTTATATTAATCAATCTTTAGAGACTTTACATTTAAGGGTCATTATATAATAGGCCCTTGCAACTCTAATAGTCTATACAAAAATTCATCTACATATTTACTTCCAATCAAAACCCAATTTTGAAAACGGATGCCATGAAGGATAAAATTTGCCCATTTCTTATTACTTATTTACAAAACCCTGCCATTTTTGTTATCCAATGATTTTCCTAAACAATCCCTAATATCTAGCCTTTCCATTATTATGGTGTTGCTGGACTGAACAAATCAAAACATTCTCATAATACATATAATATATGTTTGTTCATAAATAATATATATATATATAGCTATACATATAAACCATAATTACATATAATGTAAGTATATTAAAATTAATGTAGGTATATTGGATGTCGTATAATGTAGGTAATTTACCTATACATATTTTCGTAGTAGGTATATTTTTCAAATGGTAGGTATATTGGATGACATATAATACCTAAATCCTAATCGTAAGTACATTAAAATTAATGTAGGTATATTGGATGTCGTATAATATGCAGGTATATTAGAACAGATAATCATGTACACTTTTTATAAATTAAAAACAGGTACACTATTCATACTAGGTAAATTATATTTTTCATAAAACAAACAATAAAAATATTATTAGTTATTTTCAAGAGAACAAGTAATAGGTACATTATTTTTTCAACATAATTAGTATGTACAGTATTATTCATAAACAATTATAAAGTAGATTATTAGTCATGTATAATTCATAAAAAGAAAATAACATAAACATTTTTATTAAACAAACCGATTACCTAAATTTGTATTTATTATTAAATTTTAAAAAAATGTTTCCAAATTAATTTCTACATCCATTACAACCATTTGGAGATCTTTCCAAATTCAACGTCTGTCATTATATACAATCCAATTAAAAACTATTTCTATATTGATTCCTACATTAATATACAAAATGCAATAATGGCTTAGTTGGGGGTATTTTTGGAATCTGAAAAGTACAATAAATCAGATTTTATGCTTAATTAGGTAACTTGCTGAGTTGGATCCTACTCATGGGTTTTTACTTATACAAATTAGGGTATGGCAAATTGAATTTGAAGGATGTAAGCCAAATTTACTATACATTTAATAAAGAGGATGAATATGGAGATACATTCTTCCATATTTTCCTAACTGCAAAAGTGCCAAGTGCAGTCCCACAAAATGAGCAAATGAAAAGTAAGTAAATTCAGTAGTATCTAACATCTCAAAACACAAAACCCAACTCAGAAATGCCAGCAGCTTCCTCAACCCAAGGAAGACTCAAGTTCAGTTTGCCCTCAGACCACTCGAAAGCCACCTCAGCACCGTTGAAATAACATTTCTTTGGACATCCACTCGAGTAGGCCAAGAAATTGCCTCCTCCTTTAACCTTCATCTTGGCAGTAAACTCACCCTCACTTTCGTACTCCAACTCTTGGACAGTTCCTCCACTGTTGAACATGTTTGTAAGTCCAATTGGCGCGAATTTGATGCTATCGCTGAGCTTTTGGACTGGCACAAAGGTGAAAAGCTCGAACGAAGACGGCTGGAGAGTGATTTGAATTGCAGCAGATTTTGGAGTCACAAGGCGCAGCTCATCAGCCTGGTTGAGATAGACCAGGTACTCTTTAGCCTTGCCCAAATAGGCTGCTTCTATGTTTTGGTCCCATTCAATATCAGAAACATGCACTGAACAAAAGATTGGCTTGTAGCAATCTGGATAGCCTTTGATCCTGTGCTCCTTGGGGTCCCAACCAGCCCCTTGGCAGTTGAACCCTCCAATCACTCCACCATACTATGAAACAAGTATATAAAAAATCGAAACATTTAACAATCGAATGTGGGAAAGGACATAAACAAACAAGCCAACAAAGATATACCAAACTTAAGTAACATTGAGTGGCACAATATACCTTGTTCAAGTTCCAAATTTTGAGAGCAGTCTTGTTGTCAAATAAAGGGTTTTTGAAGAGGCAGTCCCTTGTTGGAAGGGCAAAGTTCTGGCACTTGGGAATGGTACCATCTGGGTGAACAAGCTTCTTTATGAGATCAAAATCATGGCTACCGACGTAATCACTTAAATACACTGGACCTCCACAGATAGCCCTGGATCCAGCATGATATTTGGCACACAGATGGTCTGATTGGAACATATCCCAATCAGGGACTATCATCTGACCCATCCACATGCTGTTGTAGGAACAGTGGATCATATGCACACCTTGTAACCAGTAAACTCCCATAGGATCTCCACTTGGATCCTGGAACCAAAAATCATCTCCTGAAAGTTGCAGAAACAGAATATAATCCATGAATGATCTTATTAAGAATTTCATGTGGTACTTTTAAAATGAAAATATAGGTTGTACACAAGACTATGACCAATTTATTTAGACTTTCTTACCAGCTCTTCCCATAGAGATTTGCTTTGTCCCAAGGAAGAAGAAGTCATTGCATTGTTGCATGCTAGAAATAAGCCCACTCCCATTGAAGTTCTTCACAAGAGAATCACTCAGCCCCTTGTAATAAGCCTTTGCAAGCTCCACACGGCCTCCATATTCCTCAGACACATATTCAAGAGTCTGCATGAAAAATTCATATGAACAAATAAAGCGTGCACAATTAATTTGATTATCAAAACAAGACAACACAGAGCAGAAATCAAAATTCAAAATGGTGATGTGTAGAAGACTTACATGAATAACATCCACTTTGACTCCTGTGATACCAACTCCGGAAAGGTACGAGTGCATAGAGTCATATAAAAGATTAGCATGGTCCGGATGAACAAGTCCCATCCCACCCTCAACGACTTTATCCACAGCGAGATCATTCATAGTCCCAACAAGTCCAGGAGAGACAATGCAGGGAGTGATCCTTGCATTGAGGTGGGTTGCACCTGGCTTAACACCAGACCAGGCACCACAAAGAGCATGCCATACATATATATCATCCAAACCCTTAAACTTGGTTCTCAAGTCACTTGTGAAAGCCTTAAGCCCATAGCTTTCAGCCCCACAAGGACTTCTTCCACAGCCATTATTAGAAGCACTGCTTTCTTCTCCACCAAGTAACACATTCAACTCTTGATTCAACTTCTGAATTTTCCTTTCGAAGTCGGATAAGTCAGTGACTCCACATTGAATGGCCTTGTCACGGTCCTTCTCAGCATGCTCTAGTTCAACTGCTTTGCCTATCAACATCTTTGGCCTTTTTGGATCAAATGAAGGAGCGTTGGGACCCAACATGCATCCACCTTTGTAGTTCTTGAACTTCTTGCACTCATCAAGCCTGTGAAGCCTAGCATTCATTTGACTCCCACAGAGAACTAGATTTTTCGCGTCCTCATTTGGATCCTGATCATCATCAAAATTGATGCTTTGCCAGCCATCATCAACGATGAGAAAGCGAGGGGATACACCGGCTTCAGCAAATTCATTGATACCATGCCAGATACCAACAGGTTCTACAGTCAAGTAGAAGGAATCCCAAGTGCACCAACCAAATTTGTCAACAAGATTTGGGACTGTTTTCTCTTCCAACAGCCTAAAAGTATTGAGATGGACCCTAATAGCACTAAAGGCCTCTTTCATCAAGTTGTAGGGATTGTCAGAAGCATGGATATAAGCAATGGCATCGAAATTTGATGCTTTCACTTGGGTGGAACCACTCTCAGCACAGATCATGACATGGCCATCAGTGCCAGGTTGAAGAGCAGACCTAAAAGAGCCATCAACAATGGGGATGATTATGACATATGACTTTATTTCAGGGACATCAAAAAGAACCCATTGGGTCTCCAGTTGCACATTTGACCCAGAGTTTCCCACCCACATGGTAGACCACCATGTCTTGAACCTAAAGATGCTAAGAAAATCTCTGTCGCTAAATCTGCCCAAGGAGTTTATCAACCTATGGGAAGCCTCCTCCTTGTTGAATCCAAGGAACCCTCCCTTGTGGGACAAGGCACCGACACGGTGGAGCAGAGGAAGTGGAACATCATCAGACGGCTGGAAGATTGAATAAAAGGGATTCAAAGTGACATTGCTTGGAACTTCAGAGAGCAATGGAACTCCTCTAACACTAAGCTTTCCATTAGAAAGATCAAAGTATTGTTCTAAACTCTTGGATTCGGACACATTGATGATTGGATTTAAAGAATCATTTGGAGGTGCCATGAGCAGAGGAAAACAGAGGATTACAAAAAGTTCTGAAACTCAAAGATAGCAAACAGAAGGGCTTGGTTTGAAGGTGAAGCATAAGAAAAACCAGAAAGTATTATATAGAATGCAGAGGGTCGATAGTTTTGAAGTCATATCTTGGGTATCAAGGAAAAACGAAATCTGAACATTGAAAATGAAAATATTCTTTAGTTTGATTACGTTCTGGAAATATATGATCTTGGTCTCCTACAATGTCTCTGCTGTATAACTGGAAGGCAAAATCTTCGATTACACTATCTTCCTATACTGAGACAAGATGAGAAAGAATCAAAGAAACATATGAAGATAAAGACATAATAAGCCCAGAGCCAGAATTGGTAAGCAGAATCTTTAATGCACTTGGAGAAGATGGGCTTTTGATAATTGAAGAACAAAGAAAGTAAGTACTTATTACACTTGGTGATAAAGATTCTAACATGGCTGAACAAAGGAAGAAAGTAATTATGACAAAAAGAAGATTGGATTTGAGATTGGCAGAGCACAAAAGGCAAGTAATGAATGAGTTTTGGAAGAGTGATTTGTAATTTGGTTTGCACCGAAAGAAATGGGGATATGGCAAATTGCTATGCGCACGTATTTATGTTTACTTTCTCTGTTGCATTAATCACATGAAAAACAAACCAACTGGTTGTTTGCTTCCTAGAAAGCAGAACATGGGTAAATTGCTATGCACGTCTTTAGAGTAGTTTGTGCAACATATATTTGAGTTGGGTAACCTCAGATTGACTTGGGAATTTCTTTTCTTTTATTCTCTGCGTAAACTCAGTCTCTGTACAACTCTACAACAAAACGCATTACAATTCTCAGTGTTCTACATCTGATATGTCTTTATTTTGGCTAAAGCAATATATATTTTCCATGAAATGCTCCCTGACAAAGAAGAAATATTGCAAAGAATTTCATTTTTTTTAATAAAATAAAAAATAATCCATCTTCAGCTGCTCTTCCAGCAAAATATATTTCCGTCCACCGAAGTTACCAAGTCCTTTTCTTAGCTCAGCCCCCATGCCTGCAAACCGGCATAGATTTTTACTGTAAGTTTTTTCTTTTTTTTAAAAAAAAGGCAAAACCATGGAAATTATCCCAGTAATTCTTGCAGATTAATATTAAGAAAAAAAAGTTATTTACCCGGATTCGGCCATCAGAAGTTCCAGTGACCAAAACTTCCTCATTGGCATCAAGAGCCAAGCAAAGAACCTTACAATTGGTACCAGTTTGTAGGGTGTCTATTCTGTTCTGCTTCTCCCTGTCCCATATTTCCACGCTTCCTCCTTTACCTCCCAAATAAATTAGTTCCGAGCTTATGGCCATTGTCCGCACTTCTAATGTAGTTGGCAGAAATCCAACCATACTGAAGTTTGCAGCATTCCAAATCTTGACAAGAGAATAAAATGGATTAAATGGATATATTTATATATATGATTTTTATGCTTCATAAACTCATTTTCTTGAGAGTTTCTTTAAGACACTCCAATCATGCATACAAGAGACAAATAATTTTGCATGGTATTAGATACTCTTACAAAAGGTACCTTCACGGCTGCTCCATCCGCAGAAGAACTGGCTGCATATATAAGTCCACTGTGAACTTGAATGGCATGGATAGGATTTGCTTTCGAAAGTAATTTCCGAGTGCCATTTTGAATGGTACTGAGTGTTCCTGTGGCCAAATCAATCTCCTGAGAGTTTCACACAAGTTTGATTATCAGCACATTGAGAGAAACAAACTATTAGCTGGGTTTAAACTATCACTAGAAATTTTTTACCTGAATACCACTGTCATGGCATCCGCAATACAATTTCCCGTGTACTAGAGCGAAGCACTTTACATATTTACTTGAATTTAACAATTTGGATCCTCCATTCCATGAATGAACCTGGTAGCGAATAGCATGCAAACCATTAGTTGCAAGTTCATGGTTTTTCTTGCTTCTAAGCAAACCATTAGTTTTGTTGAGTACCTTGATACCAGTACTTTGTGGAATGAAGCAAGCAAGGGTATTGGTGACGGCTAAACTATGAACTTGATCCTTCATATCATGTACGTGTACACAATAAATTGCTTCATTGCTAATAGACCATACCTGCAGTTCAAGAGAAGAAACTTTAGTCTGAAAGTTCTGCAACTGATAAAGACACAAGAAGTATCAAGATTTAGACCATACCCTTGTAGTTCTATCAAGTGAACCACTGTATAGAGTCTCCCCTGATTGCAAAATTGCCAAGCTAGTAACTGCCTTTGTGTGTTCTCGAATTTCTTGGATTAGATGAAGTACGCTGCCTTTACCTGTCCATACCTTCAGAATTTGGAAACCCACAGCAATCAAGAAAAATTTACATGGGATAAACATTGTTTTGAAAACATTAAACCACATATATAAGAATCTGTAAGAACAAGAAATTTACACTTGCTGGTTGAGCTACCTTTATAGTTCCATCTGAATGGCCCGAAAATATTTTATCCTTGAAGCAAACTAATGAAAGAACCTCTCCATTCTCACTGCAATCTACCTGAACTAATTCTTTATGATCCCACAGTTCCTGTTCTCAAACATGAACATATAATTTTGTCATGACCTTTCTTTCTGGAACAAGGTATATAGTATACAAAGGTTGCAATGAACTTACTGCGCTAGAGTCTTGCCCCTCAGAAAATAGTTTTAGCATTTGAAATGCCAAGGGAGTGGATCTCTTAAGCTCTCTCAGGCCTTTTACGATATCCTTTATTGAAGAAGTTACCTCACTCATCCCTTCTGTAATTCACAACATCAAGAATATTTAACTCATCCCAATTTTCGAAGTTTTTATAAGTAAACTTTCATACAATTAACTGAAGCTTTCAATTGCCCCATTCAAATCCAAGGATGACCTGTTCTTACCAGGATCATGGATGAAGCTGTTCAATGCCAGCATAGAGAGGGCTTTGTCTTCAGTGTCCTTGGCAGACTTGAATATCGATATGAAATGTTTGAGCAAGCAGACCCGGGCTGCTCCACGTATTCCTGTGTCTGGAAGAACATCGAGCATGTGTGCGAGCCATGTGGCTGACACAAAACATGCTGAACATATTTCTGCATATCTGCTCTTCAAGCCTTCTGCCAAAGCCTCAAAAAGTAGACCAAACTCATGGCTTGCTAAAACAAATGCCATTTTTCTTTCCCAATTATTAGCCGCCTTCTCTTCCTCCTTTTGATGTCAACCAGAAAAGGACATTGTTCAGGAAATGGATTCATGAAGATGATCGAGTTGCCAAAACTAAGGAAATAAAAAAAGCTAAAGCAAAGCAATGCAGTGCAAATTTTTATATAAGTCTCACAAGAGTTTCATCTTCTCCAGAAAAGTTGCTAAGTTGATCCATTCGCACACTACTTTTGTAACTTTTGTCAAGGCCAGCACGTTTCAGAAGGAAAGCCCTGGTAAGAGGCTTTCCGGAAGTGGTGAACCTCCCTTGCAGCGACATAATTGTCTCAGCAGCAGCAATTTGAGCAGTAGGGAACTCCACATTTCTGAGACATGAGATGAGAACGTCTATTGCCTCTTCACGGTATATGCTCATCTTTCTCGGCTCTGCCTACAAACCAACCCAGTAATTATTAACTGACAATCACTAGTACAACCAAATAGTCAATGCAGGTAGTTACTTAAATGCAACATGACTTCCTGCAATTAACAATCCAACAATCAATTCAAGGAAAGATTTCATGAAGTTCTAGAACAGAAGAAAGAGAGAGAGTTCCAAACCAGAAGATCAAGTTGAAGTAGTAGGCCAGCCACAATAGGACACTGGTCTTGAAGTGCTGTCTGAAGATAAATAAGGAGGGTGTGCATTGTGCTGAGAGGACCTTCATCCTTTATAATATGCAGGATTTGTTCATTGAATGTCCTTCTGTCTAACACAAAGATTTATGTTTGTCATGCTGCCTCGAGTCCAAGAGTCATTGAAGATTTGGACAAACACAAACAAACTTGAAATGTAAATATACCTGTTTAACTTAACTAACTCGGAGAAAAAGTGAACAATCTCAAACCGTTCTCTATCATTTGCACCCATAAAGCTATCCAAAACAGGAGCCAACTCAGCTTTATCAGCTATTGTGTTCCTGCACTTTCCATCTTGTTGCATACATCTCAATAAGATCCCAACTGCTGCAATCCTCTCTTCTACCGATTCAGATTCCAAACTGCTAGTGATTCTTTCAAGTGCTTTTTCAGAAATCACAGTATTAACAATTGAGGAGGCAATGCCCTCTCCACTGCCACCAAGAATCAGCCCCAGTAAAACCACTGCAGCTGTTCTTGGCTTTAGACACATGTTAAGCAAATCATTATCTTCCTTCCTAATAACCATTAAGAGAGAATCCACCATGTCCAACTCAATTAGATTAGGGATGGAATGCCTTAACAGATATATCAAGACCACAGCCTCCTTCAACCCCTTATTGAAAAGAGTTGCGATACATTCGACATCAGAGTCAACCCGGGTCAGTGTCTGGATCACAGCTTTGTCTCTTGACCCCAGCTCAGACAGTAGAAAAACTGCAGCTGACAACACACTGGAATCAACAGAATTGAAAAGAACCTCCACGAAACCATTAATAACAGGAGGTTTTGTGAGTAAACTCTGAATATCCCATTCCACATTTGCTTCCTGCCAGAATCGCTCGATTCGAAGAACAGCCAGTTCAGACTCCTTGAGAATTTCTGACATACAAAGGTTCGTAATTGCATGTCTTAACTCTCCAACTGCACCATCAAGGCTGGCTTGGCTTATAACACTGTCAGGAGAAGTTGAAGGCATTATGGACTTAACAACTGGGTCAGCCACCGGGCTTGTATTCTGCGATAGGTTTAAGACTGCACAAGCAGGGTTCTGTTCTTGCCAACTTGCAATAAGACGTTTGAGCACATAGTTGGTTTTAGGCAGTTGGGTGCTCTGCAGATTCTGGCGGGTAATTGGGCATGTTGAGTTCCCTCTTTCAATCCATTCCTGGATCGCTTTTCGCTCGTATGTCTGGCCGGTCTCAAGTGTCACAGGATCATCAAAAATGGTGCTAGTTATGGGACACACAAAGTCCTTGGGAGGAGTATTTTTTCCACCACCACCAGAGGTGCTATCAGAATCTGCCATGAGCCGATCTGGAGAACTAATAAACAACAAGAAATCCAAATCCAAATTCAAAATATTACAAAACGAAAATAGACAATGTGATATGCTAATGTGTGGCGTTTGTCAATACCAAATACTCAAAATAAGGTTTGATTGATGGGTACATACCTACTTGACTCTGCAGAAATGGGTTGCTTTAGTTTTTGAATTTGGCTCTTTGTAGCCTCAAACAACTCCATTTCTCTGTTGTTTTCCTACAAAACTCAACAAGACAAAACACTAAAAACAAAACAAAAAAAGCAGCAGCATAGGTATTATCAGACCAAAGCTGCAGGTTCTTTTTCTTGTTAGCATCGGACTATTACCTCAATTTCAGCTTCAGAATCCAATGAAGAAGAAGAAGAACCAACTGAGTTGTCCTCCAACGAAGATTCTGACTCAGAGTCTGAATTCACATTGGCCGATGCTTCCAACCTCCAGGAAGATTCTTCCTGGACCGTCAGGATATTATTAAGATAAACTCTTTGAGGATAAGCTGGTGGTGGAGACTTGGGTTTTCTTCCCCTGCTGCTGCTGAACAATTCAACTGATGCTTCTGCTTCAGCCCATATTGGCTGACAAGGTCCAAGAAAATCTTTATTACGTAGAGAACGGTCAAACTGAACACATGTTTCACGATGATTCCCAAAGTCATGTATCAAAATCCGCAGACACTGTTAAGTACGTCCCAAACTTCCTAATCCCGTTGCCTTTTTTATTATTATTATGCACCCTTTATATAATTATGTAACAAAATTGAAATAATACCTAACATTCTTTTGAAACGTTCCAAAGAATCCAATTAGCTGAAGGGTTTTTACGACATATCCTATTGAGAGGGGTGATAATATACTAAATTCACACACTATACAGATGCTAAGACTCAAATCTAGAATCTTTTATAATGTAGCAATTGTTCCAAACCACTACATCAGTGGATGTGGATCCTTTGCGATCAATATTTATATCTTAAGATAGCATATAATATGCTGAAAATACTAGGTGTGAGTTAATATATTTAGAACAGTCCTCTTTATTTATATGATAAAGTGACCTACCTAGGAGCAGGACAAATTGCATTTAGCTTTGATTAATGTATGATAAACAGTCTGGAACCCGTGGGAGTTTGGTGACTCGAATCTCACAATAAAATAAATTAGACAAACCTAGGAGCAGGACAAATTGCATTTAGCTGGGTTTAGATAATGAGGTTTTTGCAATAAGACAAACCTTCTTTTTGTATAATTTAAAATAACAAATATTGTATTAAATTAAAAATAAAATTGTATAGTAAGTGGCCCATTGTCAGCCATCCAACCTCTTGCCACCAGCTGGCAGATTCAAAGACTTAACGTTCATGAAAAATATAAAAAAATAAAAACCCACAAAATACCACATGTAGCTGCCCTCTCATTTTTCAGTGGTTTGACAAAGTCAAAATAATCTACCAAGAAAAAACATACTAGTTTAAACGCTTTTTATTATTTTTAAAAAAAAACATTTAAGAGAGGAAAGGCCAAAGATCCAGAAGAAGAAATACCAAGTTTGAAGATCAGTCGACATAAAATACCAATAATAATGAACAAAAATAATTAAAAGTTGAAAGAAAATAAATTTATTACATTATACCGTCCGTTTTCAAATCCTGGTTCCTCTGTTTTGATCCTCTGTTCATCATCTCCATACTTGACTTGATCAACCCTCTCAATCCTCTTCAACATCACTGTGGGTGGATCAATCAGTCGACTTGCATCTTTATTTTCCAAAACTTGTTTGAAGTAATTACTAAAAACCCTGCAATTTTCATCAAGAACTTTCTCATAATTGCTCTCCAGCTCCTTCAGCTCTCATCTTCGACAAAGATTTCGAGCATGGAAAAACGACAGACATGTCGGATATGGAACAGTCGTCGTTTTCATAACTAACGTTTGTTGACAAAGTGGGTAATATTTGTGTTCTTTGCTCATTGTACCAATGAAGAACAGGGAGGAGGTGGACTAGAAAGAGCTCTTCGAAAAGTACAGGGGCGAGTTCAGTTCGAGCGAATGAAGGGTCGGTGTGGAAGATGTCGAGGAGGCTGAGAGCCGCTTCGATGGGGCGGCGGTAGAGGCCGTAGATGAGGGAGAGGAGGAGAGAGGAGAAGGGGTTTGAGGGGTTCGTGAGGAGGAGCTTTTCGGAGAGGCTGAGAGAGGAGGCTCGAATGGCTGGGCTGGTGGAGGAGATGGCGTTCTCTAGGGTCTCCGCGGCGAGGTTTAGGGGGTTGAGGGCGGCTTGGGAGGCAGAGGAGGGGAATTTGCGGCGGAGGGTGGAGAATAGGTGGCGGCGGAGCTCAGGTTGGGAGAGTGTTTCGGATACAAATGCGGTGGTGTGGCGGAGAATTTGGGAGGAGGAGGTGGTGGTGGTCATGGTGGTGGTCAGTTATTACCACTCATGGTAGCGTGTAGTTATGTTATGAAAATGTTTTTGGAAGCCCTGGTTTGGGCTTTAGTTGTTTTAAACGGAAATACAAGTTTTTTAATATTAGTGGCGGGAATTGCCCTTGGACGGCCCTTTTTAAGCAGATACAAGCTAAAGTGGGAGGGACATATTGGTCATTTGAAGCAGTATTTTCAACGGTTGCGAAATGCTGCGGCAAATGTAACCCATTTGAGTAAACTTTGCGCTCAGTCACAGTAGAATGCCTGTATAAATATAAATATAATATGCCGCCCTGGCCGGCTTGACTGTTTATTATATCCTCAAAGCCAAGCATTTCTATTTCTTGTGAAAGGGTAACAAAGATGGCCTAAATCTAATTAATCTTCTTCTTGTTCTTCTTCCATTTGTCACTGGTTTTCCTATTGAAAAATAAACAATTTTCGACACGTGGGATTCGTTGTGCGGCTGAAATTTGGCTACTATCTGCTGCAGACTGCAGGTTATTGGATTGAAGAATTCTGAATTTTTGAACATTTGAAACTTGGTAGGAAGGTACCTCATTAAGTAACTCTAAGATGATTCAAGAAAATGTCTTTTGCATAATTAGCTCATAAGGGAAAGGAAATGGATAAAATCTCTAGGCACAGCACAAACAACAAACTAAACAAAACATAATTCAGATTTAAATATAAATTATTCAAATTTTAACAAATCAATGGTGTGTGTGTGTAGCTATGAAGACAGCAAGGAAATGAATCTAAGCACAACATCAACTGCATTTTGAGCAGCCAAAGATGCAAAAGTGTTGGCTTCATTGGAGACAGAGGAGCCTCCACCGGCCAAATCAGAGAGAGCTCTAATTACAATAAACGGCTTCTTCTGTTGGTGACAGACCAAAGCCACTGCAGCACTTTCCATGTCAATGGAAGTCGCATTGAATTTGAAGTTCAAGAATTCTCTGTATGCTCTGTTGTCAACAAACACACTTGCACTGATGCCTCTTTTGACCCTCACCACAATGGGTGCTCTTGGCAGACAAGTTGTATTCACACAACCCCCCAACTTCAAATCCTGTGTTTCCAAATTAATTCCAAATTATTACAACACCAACAGACAGAAAAATATTCCACATGCCAAGAAAATTTGTGGGTTTCTTGGTGCAAATTACCTCTAGTTCCTTGGCAACTGCAAAAAACTTAGGGTTGACTGGAACCCAGAAAGCATGTTGCCTAACTTCAGGAGTGCCATGAACTGGGAAGACCTCTTCTGGTTGATACCAAACATTGTTCAGAAGATTGGGAACAGACTTGCCATTTCTGGTTTTGTTGTTGAAATCAGAAAATTTTATGTGACCAACTTTTCTTGTGTAGTCTCCAAATGATTCTAAGGACAACTCATTACCAGGCCCATCTCCAAACCTCTGCATGCATTCAAGTGGCAATGGAAAATATAAAGAATATATAAGATTTTGTGTGACAAGTGATATTATTACATTTAATCTTCTTCATCAAAACTTAAAAGGTTAATTATGTATTGATAATGCTAGTTCTTTGATATTAGCTTAATTTCCAAAGAAAATAAAGATTCAATATTTTCTGATCTAGATTACATTGTCCTTGTTTATGAAAACCAGAAGGGACACGGAAGAAAAGGGAAGTAGAAATTTTTATACCTGCCAATTCCAAAGGCCTGTATGAGCCCAAAATTGAGGGATAGTCACATCTCCAATTTGGAGTTGAGGATCTGCATTTCCTGCAATTCCATAGTGCACAACACCTTTCACCTTGAACAGGCTTAGCAGTAATTGAGTTGAGATCCCTGCATTAAGCTAGTCATAGGTTTCTAAACCAGTTATATGATGCATCATTAACCAAAGAAACCAAAGTAAAACAGGTTATGCATGAACATACCATGCTCAATCCTGTCATAACAATTATAACACTTTCGTCTTCCAACCGTCCAATTCGAAACCTTCTTCCTGTAAAATTCAGTATGTAGAAGTTGGTCCAAGTCATTTTCTTTCAGTGCAATCAGTGTATTGAGAGAGTACAAAGTGAAAAATACAAGAAAAGCAACAACAACAAAAGAGCTCATATCTTCATCAGAGAAACTTTTTTACCAAGAAAACCAAACCAAGGAATTTAAACTTAATGGATATGTTTATGTACCAGAAAAATCTAAGTAGGGAAGCTTCTGATCAGCCACAAAGCTTGTGGATTGAAGAAGAGGGTTCAGCTCAAAGAAATTTGGCACCACAATGCCCAAATATGGACCCTTCTTATTTAATATATCAATCTTTCTCATGGTAGTGTGGGAAACTGCACCATAGGCTATGCTGCAAATCCCCAAAAAAACCAATACAAGAAAAACCATTGACTCCATCCTCAAATGGCTCCCCATCTCCCTCTAAACTCTAAATAATCCCCAAAACTTGATGACCCTTTGCAGGGCTGCAGTGGCCAGTGGTGGAAACATTTATAATCTATTAAACAAAGCATGTGAGGTTTGAATCAAGAAATGTGAAAACAACTAACTTAGAAAAGTATCAAGGATGAATATTCTCATTAGTATTTGTCTATAAATGAAGGTCAACACAAGGAATCTCATAGTATATTGATGGATGTGGGAAAAAACACAAAAAAAATTGGAATCTGATTGGACTGATAGTGATTATTAATCAAACAACTCACAACTTATCATGGTACCATTCATAGATTGAGTTGATTAGTCCATAGATCACGTCGACTAGTCGATTAAACAACTTATTAAGCTGAATGTTACCAATTTTTTTATACTTGTGACCTAGTTTTAAGATCTGACTTTTCGAATTTGGTTTGAATGGTCTAGCTGTTATCTTAGTTTTCATCTTAGTATGAACACCTCCTCTCTCTTTTCAGATCAAAAATGTAACTGGAGGGAAAAAAACAAAAGAAAATTTGTTAAGGCAAAGTTGGAATTAGATTAAACTAAGTACTAACAAGAAATGAATTGATCTAATTGGAAAAACAATGGTTATGGTTTGTTTTTTCTCTTGAAGACTATTCAAATGTTTTGCTTGAACAACTCTCTCTCCCTCTCTTCTCTTGTCTTCTTCATCCCCATAAACCCACATGGACAGACTGAGAAGGTTACGTTACGTAACGTTATGTTACAACTAGACTGCGGTGAAGTCAAGTCAACTGGTGGAAAATATCGAACCGATTGGGCCGGTATGCATATAGATGGGCCCATCTAAGTTCATAGCCAGCCCAAAGCTACTGTAAATTCCCAAGTGGGCTTTGTTAACGGATCCAATCCCATTTTAAATTAGAAAGTTTGGCTTGTGATTTCAAAATTATTATTATTTTACTTGGATTGAAATTGATACACTCGACATTTTCAGAACTATGTTAAAAAAAATTGCGATTTTTTTCCATGAATTGCTTGGTTTGGAAAATGCACGCATTATTTATACAATTATAGTCAATAAAATTCATGTATTATAATGAGATTCTGAAAGTTGTGTACATAGAGAAAATCCATGTTTGTGCAAAGAAACCAAAACATGTCATATTAACTGTGAGTGCTCACTATAAGAGTTCGACTCATGAATCTAAAAGGATAAGCCTTCTAACCCTACGATTTGAAGCGTTTATTCATATTAGGATTATTACCACTTATAATCCCTCGTGGTTTTCAAATTCATTCATAATTGAGGAAAATTTTGAAATTCGTTAAATTTAAGAACATGTGTGAAAAAAAACAAATGCATGCAAGCCAAGTCATATCAGATTAAGATTATTACCACTTTTAATCCCCCATGGGTTTTCAAATTCATTCATCATTGTGGAAAAATGGGAATTCGTTAAATTTAAGAAAATGCGAACCAAACGTACACATGCAAGTCAAGTCATATGATTCATCCCAAGTGATGTTGCATCCCACCATTTGATGGACGACACGTCTCAAATCATGAAGATGCTGTAGAATTATAGTTCGATGGAATTGACATGGGGTCACAAGATGTTGGGACAAATGGGTTAATTTGTGTACGTTAGCTAGCAGGATTCTTTGGGGATGCTCTTAGGCAGCATCTCAATAGCTAGCTAGGTCTTTTTCTGGCTTTTCCTCTTCGAATAATATCTTACATCAAATTGATACACATGTGCTGAATAAGATTCAATCTAAACAACATTTAAAATGACTAATGGTACTCATACTAATTCATTAATACCGAAGAATATACAAGAACAGCTAGCGTTGTTGTAGCATCCAAAATATAGAAGATTTATAGATAAATTAAACTTAATAAAAATTAGGGAGTTTAAGGACTTCCTAATCCCAAAGAGAATCACACATGCATGCATACGTGGGATACGTACGTACGTACGTATACGTACATACAGAGATTTAAATAACTATTGTATAGCATCATGAGCAATCAGCCTTTTGATTTTAGCAGAGTGACTGCTCATGATGTTATATCATTAATTTCCATGAAGCTCGATTTCGATTGATAGAGATATAGCTAGAGTGTGCTACCTAGCTAGCTACGGCGTTCATTAATTTACTGGAAACCTCCGCCAAGAGCTGGAGCCCAATAGTCTGCTCCGTTGTCGCTCCCAACTTGGAGGGTACATGAAACTGGAACTAAACACAACCCCCTACTCCTCAGGTCCTTCTTTGCCTCTTCATCAGCATCCTAACAAGTTTTTAACCAGCAAAACAGATTACTTAATCAACTTAATTCATTACTAATTATGTTATGTCCCGTTTTATATGATCGAAAGATCGTGAAGAAATTAAAGGAGAATGTTGTTGTATCAAGCATGCATATTGTCGGAGTACCTGCTCGGGAGCTCCTTTCCTCTTCATGCAATTGTCATTGAGCAGCTAATCAGAACAATAATGCAAAAGCATTAGCAATTTAATTAGCATTTGACTAGCTAGTTTGACTTGATTAAGCTTTAAAGCTGAGCATGGCATATTGCTGCTTTACACAGTACTGAAAAAAGCATAGTGCCCTTTGAGGATGTAAAGTATATGCGTATATAAATACCTGACCAGGGTCTTCAGGAAACACACAATTCCTCTCCCCATGAACCTAATTAACAAGACAAATTCTGATTAGGTTAAGATAATGAATCAATTAATGACTAATAATTAGTAATCTTGCACGTGGGAGAAGAGAGAGGAAGAGATGGAGGTATTGCTTTGGGAAGGGAGAAATGAATAGGTTAATTTGTATGTTGCAATAGCTTCTAACAAGACAGAGGCTGTGTCAGTCTGCAAAAGAGATAAAAAGCCACACCACAACCCTCCAAAGTCATACCATGTCTTCTTTAATGCTTAAAGGTTAAAGGAAACCCTTCATTTTATACTAGTAAATTACTAAAATAGGAACCAAACAAAAAATGTCAAGCTTTTCGTGCGGAAATTATTTAAGGAGAGTTCTCCATATGGGCTTTTTTTTCATACCAAGAATTGTGCTTAATGTAGTATATTATTCCATTTTAAACTATATATTAGCTTAATTAATTTTATTTTGAAGGCTTTTTAGCTGCATAAGATAGACGGGTAGAGCTAGCATACCTTCCCAAATGGGGAAACTAGCTGATGAAGGGCTGTAATTCTGTCACCTAATTTCTCCTTCCTCACCTGAATGCGCACAGAAGATATATAAATAAGAGGTGGATATAAATGCAGGTCTCTTGTGGTTAAAATAAGAGGGGATAAATAGATAAAAGAATCATCATGATTGATCAGAAATAGACATTCAAGAAAGACAAGTATATACTTCCACCTACAGTTACAGATGTTTTTGTGTTTGAGTGTGTGTCTTTGTGTGAAAGATATGTGTGTGTGTGTGTGTGTGTGTGTGTGAGAGAGAGAGAGAGAGAGAGAGAGAGAGAGGTTTCTGTATTCTGTCGTCTGATGATCAGTTAGAAACGTTACCTTGAAGGTTGGCGTTGAAGAAGGTTGAACCCTTGCTCTCTTAAGCGGCCCACCACCATTTGCAGTGCTGTTACACTTTAGAGAGAAAGAAAAAAGAAAACCAAGAGGAAATATAATAAATTAAGAATCGTGATTGGCTTGTGTTGATTAATTAACATATAAAATTATATAACTAGATTTTATAAATAAATAAATAAATAAAATAACTATGAACAAATTTATGGCTAATTTAGAGAGCGAAAAAGGAAGCTGATTCATTCCTCCAAGTTAATGTGATTCTAGAAATGGGATTAATTTAATCTTGAGAAGGCCTTATATTAATCCCAAAAATAACAAAAAATTTGAGAAGAGAAAACCATCTCATAAATCATTATTCCTTTTGATGACTCCATAAATCTTTCATACACTTAACTCATCCGCATTAATTCATGCATTTAAAAAACCTATTTAAATCTGAAATAGAAAAGAAAGAATTTTCGAAACCCTAGGAAATCAAGAATATGTGATTTTTTTTTCTTCATATGGAGACTAATATATCATGGACTCTCTCTCTCTCTCTCTCTTAATTACCTGGTCAGACGATCGATGTGGTGGAGGATGCCTCACATCTGACTTGCTAGAAAAATCCAACATGCTGGTGTTGAAACTCGTCACACAAGAAGACTTAGGAGAGGATGAGGCAGAAGCAGTTGATTGCATAATTTGAGACAAAGAAGACAAAGCCGCTGACTGAAAATCTTGATGATGTTGGTGATCATTAACCCCTTGCTGGTGTCCGTACACAAAGCTACCGCATCCCGAGCTTTCTTGCTTCACATCAGCAGCAGGAGCATTTGGAGCCTGCGTGCTACTTAATATTTGCTCCTCCCAATTCTCCAGCTTATTCTTTGCTTGATGAAATTGCCTCATGAGAGCCCCCTTCTCATCTTCGCCTACCAATCCACCCCTGACAGTTGAAAAACAAATCAAACCCCGATCCACTAATAATAAGCTAACCTTGAACTAATTAACAAAATGTTATCTAAATAACAAAAACGATTCATTTGTCTTCAAGCACATGATATAAAGACCATGCATGCAGGCAGCCATGTAAGAGAGAGAGAGAGAGAGAGAGAGAGAGAGAGAGAGAGAGAATTAATTACAAGAGGAGTTGGCTCCAAGACTCTGGAAGCTCCTGGATGTTATCGTCAATATGCCAAGAAGGAAAAGGAAGTCCTGAAGAAGTTGTTGATGGAGAAGAGGAAGTGTTTGGTACGAACTGTGGAATGAAAAAAGAAGGAGGAGGAGGAGGCGGCGGCAAGAAAGGAGAAGTAACAGATGGCTGGGTTGGTGGCCTCATGCTATTGATGTTCCACCAGTTAGGGTTTCCGGCCATCATTTGTTGCACCGGTGAGCTCTGCAAATTAACACCTCTATTCATGCCTCTTATTATCTTCTGATTCTGAACGAGAGCTGAGCTATAGCTAGCGAGCTTCCTTTTGTTCTCTTTTTGTTGGTTTCTCTAATATATATCGATCTCAGCTGGCTCCCTTGGCTTCTTTTTTTTTTTGGTCTTTTGTTGAAGCTCCCAAAACAAGTCTTTGTAGAAACTTTGAGAGGTCCTCCTGCACTGGATTAAGTAGTACTAGGGGGAAAACCCAGGTCCTGTTTTGAAGAGAATTTGAATAATTATGGAGTTTTGAGAACCTTTGTCTTTGTTGTTTCCTTCTCTCTCTCTCCTCTCTCTTTTTTTCTCTAGCTAGCTCATTTCTTTATTACTCTGATCTGCTTTTTTTCTTTCTTCCCTTTCTTTTATGTTTTTCTTTTCCTTCTTTGCTTTTTCTCTGCTTTTACTTTATCTCAAAGTGGGACAGAAAAGGTGGTAGCAATTCCAATTAATTAAGTAAACTAAAAATTGGATCTCACTAGGGTGACTGTGAGTGCACAAGTTTTCTCTCCATCCCATCAACTCATCTGGCATCTGCTGCCAAGGTTATATAAGTATATGAAGACAAGGACATAGTGGTATATTTACTGTCTGTTGTAGGTAAATGATGATCCATGTATATTAACCTAACATTAAAACGTAACAAAAAAATTGAGAAAACTAACGAGCATGACTTTAATAATTAATTGTTGAGGGATGAACTAATTAATAGACTTAATTGATCTGCTAAATGATAAGAAATGCTGAGTATTAATTCATTGCGTGTCGAGTCATTTATCAATCAATACAGAGGAATATCCATCGAGAGATAGCCACCTTATTCTGAGTCACTCTTAGATTTCTTGATTGTCATGCATCTATCTGGTTTAGAATTATATTTTCCTTGTTGATTTTGCTTTCATTATATCTTGATGAATTGATGTATAGGCCAAATATTGTGAGGTCAATCATCAATACGAATTTAGAAAATTCCTATCCCTAATACGTAACCTAAACTTCCATTTTTGTTAACTTACGGATTTAGGGAAAGCGACATAGTTAAGGCAACTTTAAGCCTAAAATTCAAGGCATGAAATTCTACGTAAGTATTAAGTTACGTTTAATAAATCGTCTACGTATAGGGAGTCAATGAATTATGTACAATTTCAAGACATAAAATTCTACGTAAGTATTAAGGTACGTTTAACAAATCGTCTACGTACGTCCTAGGACGGAAATTATTTGTTGCCCCCACAAAAGACTTTCTTAAAAATTAATCATCTTAGATTGAAAACTTGCAAATATATAATATTAACAAGGAATGAATGACGATTACGAAATTGATAGTCAGGAGATGATGAAAATATGAGCACTGGCATTACTAGAATTGTTGTCACCCACATAGACTCTAGTGGATGATGTATGCGTCGTAACCCTATCTGCTTGTAAGATTGCTCTAACTTATTAAACTGGTATTTAAAATATATATATATATATGAGGAAGATATATAACCCGTGAGAGTATAGAGGGACGACCGACATTCCACAGTATGTACACTTTTCGAGAGGTCAATATCTAGGGTTTGGAGATCCCTAATCTCAGGTCTCCAAGAGAATGATTGCAATTTCCTAGAATTATGATTATTCTATATTTGGATTGGACTTTACCCCCATGTTGATAAACGGTCACCTTTCTATAATATTGACGCCCAAAAAGCAATAAGGAGAAGTTTGAAGTTAATTTAAACGACACCATAAGTTTTTTTTTAAAAAAAAAAAATTTAGAAAAGGGAAAGGAAACCATAAGTTTTATATATTTTATTTTAGGTGACATACTTGTCTCGAATTAGTTTCATCCTCTGCTCTTCAAGTGCAAGGTTCGATTTCCCCTTTTCCTAATATCTAAGGCTTGACCGAAGCTTGCTACTTGCTATTGCAAATTGCAAATTGCAATGTCCATGAACCTTCCAATAATTAAATCACAATATTATTGGAAGCAATAACCAAAATAAAAAAAACAATAAAATTATTCTCCTGTGGTATAATTAATCATTTATTCCCACGACATACATTCCCTTAAACCGCATTTTAATGCAATAAACAAACAAACAAAAGAACCCTTAAATCTCGAGCTTGCCCGAAGAACATAACAAATAGCCTTATTATTTTGGGCACATTAAAGGAGGGGGGAAATGGGCATGTCTGGTCCGTACTGCCAAAAATCTTTGTCGGGGGCGCCATGTCTTTTCCAGCACACCCAACTTTCTCACTCGTCTTTTTATTTTTAATTCTTTGGCTCTCTTCAAATCTCCAACGATATAAAACAAACAAAGATCAACCACCTTTCCTTTGTCCTCACCTTACCTCCCTTATATTCTTCTCTCTCTAATACTAGCACTTAGATTATTCTATATAGGCCCTTCTTCCAAACCCAAAAGTTCAAGGTTCTTGCTTCATTCAGGCCTTAGCTACTAAGATATGTGAACTTGTGGCTCAAATTTCTTGCACCAAATATCACGTTTTATCTACGAGATTGATTTTTCAACAAGTTTACATTAGTTGGTCAACATATACCTAATATTTAATGTGAAAACTAAAAACAGCGTATATATGTGCGTGAAAAATCATCGATCGTTGTTGATGTATTGTGAACTTTATTGTGAATCTCACATACAGATATAAACGGTAATTGTTATAACCATAGCATTTGGGTATTTCTAATTTATAACATAATATTTAAAAATGGGGTTCAATATGGACTTCAAATTTTTCTTGATGTAACATTCGGTGGGGATTCTTTTTTTCCAGAAACATGCCACATGTTTCCATTGAACTATTTTGTAACTTGTAATGATCACAGTACAGTAATAGGACAAACTTCTGCCCATTGCGGCAACACACCTCCCTCACCCTTCTTCATCATCATGAGCTCTCTAAGATTTTTTTTTTTTTCTTGTTTTTTTTCTTTTGGCTTCGGCAGTAGACAATATAGCTGAATGAATGGTACGAGTTGCTAGCTGTTAAGCTGCATGTTTTTCAATATAATTCATTTCAAAACTTAATTAATTAGCAATTGATAATGAAATCGACATTTTTTGAAACTTGGCATGTCGTTTCCTTGAAGTCGAATATAAACCCCATAAAAGGGTGTGTTCTTTTGTTTCATATAGGCCATGCTTGATCATTGGATTCTCCATCACATGCCTTAATAAACCCCTCCTTAAGATTTATGCATTATTCCTATTTATGATCCCTAGACAGCTAATCTTATATAATATAAGCTTTGTAGGGTAAATCATAACCCTAATAAAAATCCTGGTTTAATTCTTTTCTTATTTAAATGCTAACTTTAACCAAAAGGTACTGCTACAAGTAGGCAAATCCCCCATCTATGACAATGAAGACAAACACATAGAAATTATAGAACTTTTATGTTTTTAAAATGATTTTTTTTTTCTCTTGTGCTGTTCTATATGAACTCCACTACCCTTCTCCAACTTTCACTTTTGCAGCTGACTATAGAGTTGTATGCAGGCAACTATTATGTTGGAGATGAAAGTTGGGAGCTCTATGTTTTTCAGTTAAAATTTAGCTAAAAACACACAAAAGTTATTTTAGAATTTCTCTATAAAATTTCAACTTCAATCATACTCTCTAGGTTAGTGATTCATATAACTGCAATAATTCTTTTTTAATTCAACAAAAATGGTTCATCTCTATAAATTAGCTGGATAGGGAGCATGGTTGTAGGTGGGTTTTCTCACTTCCTCCCTAAATTTTATCTAAGGAGGTGATTTAGGGAGTTCATTATTGCGGATGCTCTTACAAAAGTGTAGAGTTATGTTTAGTCTCTCAACAGTATATAGATATATATGTAAATAATTAAGAAGTTGAAAAAAAAAAAAAAAAAAGGAGAAAGAGAAGAGGATGCCACTTGTCAGAATTAATCAAGTTTATGTTTAGCCACTTGTCATCCTTATATAATCATGTTAAAAAGGAAAAAAGAAAAAATAATTTTTACTTTTGTAATATATGTGTTTTCGTGTAGTCAATTTCAAAACGCAATGAAAGAAACTCATCAAATTTGAGCATGTAGTCAATTTCAAGTTTCAACATCAAACTGACAAGTAATCCAAATTTCCTTAAACTTACGCTACTTGCGGTACTACTGCACTGCACCGAATGCATTGTTAATTCTAATTAAGAAACTGTTCAGGTCTTCTTTTTTCTTAATTAAACTGTTTCCATGTCTTTGTTTTGTTTTTTTTTTTCATTAAGAACACCTGGTACATTCAAGGACGTTGCTGGAAGAAAATGATGTTTTTGGCTCAATTGCGTGCACGCATTTCGATGCTCATATCCAGACTATCCTTATCCTAAAATATATGGGTTTTATTTATTGAGAGGATCAATCAGTTCCAAAGTTTAATTACCATTCTCTCAGGATCTAATTCCATTCGAATCTGCTTAGTTCCATAAAATTTTTACATTTAAATCTTTTCCTATGCGGATGTGCGGACATGCAGAAATTATGCATTTTCTATTACCCTTCTTGCTTTTCTCCCGATTTACAATGTTATATGCACGGTAATAACATGCAAATATTCGAATAAGAAAATAAATGTATATATATGTTTGTCTGTGTGACGGTTATATATATATATATATGTAAGTGGTTTGTTATGTGCAAAACACTCTTTATATGCTTTCTATATTTAACAATTAATTGCTAAAACTATGTAACTTTGTTGTGCCCCCTATTTCCAAAATATAGAGTTGATTTTGATCCACAAGCAAGTGAGTAATTCTTTGGTGTGATCATGATGTTATCAATTAAATCATATTATCATACGTGTATATATTTATTAATACTACATCATAACTCATGACACATCAATCTTTATAATTTCTCCAAATTAAAACACCCAAATTATTATTTTGTAGTTTCATTACAAGAAAACAACATTATTAATAATCACCTCATCTTGTGTCACTAATGTTATGAGAATGTGAAGGGAAAAATGTCCCGCATTGGAAAATTAATAGAGCTTGAAACAGCTTATAAGGTGTTGCACTACTCCCCCAATTACCAATTGATTTTAGGGTGAAACCTCAACTTTCTTCCCGGTTCTTGTTTTGTTCTAGTATTTATGCTACTTCGCTACTAACTCACTAAAGTATATAATTTAAGTAAAGTAAGAAATCAATCCATGTAAAATATTAGAAAGGAATAATCTTGGCAGACAAACAAAAGGCCATATCTCAGTAGATATAAACAAATCCTTCAATCATTCTCAGTAGCGAATAAACAATCGCATTTCTCTCTCTTAAATACAGCTACAATACTGATCCCAATAATCTCCACATCATGCTTTTTATAGTTTATTATCACATACAAATTTGTCTTCTTATATATCCAAATATCAAATAATTCTTTTTAGCCCCACTTCTGCTTTTTGTATAATAATTATATATCCACACCATTTATAAATTCCTTTAGAGGGAATTATTTCAAGCAACTTTTGCTTTT